TTAATATTTTGAAATGTAAACGAGCGTCTCTTGTCTGAAAGCAAATTTTTATACCAGGAGAAGCTTCTTTCAACGTCTACTGATGTTATTGGTGCGTACTTGAAAAGGACGGTCACACTTACTGACAATTCTTCTTCAATTTGAAAATATGTTGTTTCACCTTTTAATATCCTAGAGATTTTCTTCATTGTTTGGAAGCCAGTGTAACAATAAAAAATTATAAAAAATAATAAAAATTACAAAAAAATTAACGAAAGATTTAAAAATGCTTTAAAATGCAAAATACGCCCCAAAATTTAAAGAAAATGCCCTATAAATCTCAAAAAATGCTCTAAAGGACAAAAAATGTCCAAAAATGCAAAAAATGCAAATGTCATCAAAATCCGGGCCTTAATCATCAGTAAACGAATCAAGATGAATAAATTTCCGCTTTTGGAGGACGTTCGATTTTCATTTCGACCACTTATAGGAGGCATGGAATTTTTTCCATAGACTTTGTGTTGATGATGAAAACCTTTAGGAGACCATCTAAACCTTTCCTAGAGGCCGGACAGAACTCAGAACCAAATGTGAAAAGGTCAAATAATGAAACACGAAAAAATGTCAAAACAAAAAATATGAACAAAACAAATAATTAGATTAAAATGTATTCGAAATATTTGTGTGAAGCTCTTATTTAGAGAAGAGATCTTCTTGACGATCTCTGAAAGAGATCTACACTCTCTCTCTTACTATTACTCTTTTCTCTAACTATTTAAATAAAAAGAAAATTAAAAATATTGTTAAAGAAGGTTTTTTTTTTTGATTATCACTAATAATCAGTCGATTTTAGAATTTATTAAACAAAATAAAATTAATTATATTGCGACTTTTGATTTCCAGGATCTTTTCAATTGCATTCCCCTTTCTAAACTAAAAGTTGTTCTTTTGATTTATTACAATGATTTGAAGAAGAAAATTATCATTAGTTGCGATTTTGATTCATTCTAATTCATTTTTGTCTTTTTAATAATTATCGTTACAATGGAAAAGATATTTTTATTCAAATTGATAAACTACGATAAGGATCTAATTTTTCATTTCTCTTAGCTAACTTATTTTGACACTATTATGAAAAAATATTATACTCTTAGTATTAAATTTGTTTTTAGATATATTGATGAGTTAATTATCTTTACTTTTCAAGATTATACAATTTTATGAAATGATATTTACCCCCAAGGTCTATTAATCTTGCTTTGTAATCATGATGATAATATTAATTTCAATTTTTTAGATTTGGGTATTATAAAAGAAGAAAATATCTGCTTAGTTGATTTATACGATAAAAGAAATGGTATTAATTTTATTTTTAATACCATTTTTAATCAAATGAATAGAATTATTAGAATATGTAGCAATGTTTATTTATCCAAAAAATGTGATAAAAGAAAACAAAGGATCCCCAGCTAAAGTAATTATATAAAATCATTGGGTTAATTGTATGTTATTATTAAAAAAATTACTAAAAGATTCTTTGTTAATTAATATTTTTACTATGTGCGAATTCAATTCGGGCAAATCCAAGGCTAAAAATCTAATGCAAATCATGCTTCCCTCTTTTTTTCATTTTTTAAATAAACGTTAATTTTCTAAAATAATATCATTATAATAAGTATAATATCATTATCTTGCGCACATCCATTTTCGGACCAATCCTTGGTTACTAACAAATCAAACGTGCTTCAGTACTGCAGCAAGAACGAGCCATAAAACACAATTTCTTTATTTAAGCTTTTAACTCCATTTGCCCTTCTGTTTTCATATTTTGTAATCTGGCAATCTTATTACGAAAAATATTTTAGATCATTATTAAAAGATTCCGGTTCATACAAGTTCATTTGAATTCGCTACTCGCTTTATAG